TACCAAACATCTTAAACTGCTTAACTTTAAAGTGAAGCAGGTTTTTGGAGAAAAAAAAAAAAGCAATCCCAAGCAATTTTATACAATGAAATTCAACCTTCTTTGATCCACAAAATATTGGCGGATCCCTATTTTTTTTTGTTGTATTTATGGGTTTAACACGTATTATTTGTTATAAATAAAATCCATTTTTTTATTCTTGCTCAATGGACTAATAGTTAGAAATCATTAGAATGGGAGGTATTACAAAGAATTTAAATTTTCATTCCCCAATATCGCTTGTATAAATAAAATATTTGTAGAAATAACTCTAGCCCAATGGGCTAAAGTGGTATTTCAGCCCTAAACCCTAAAACGATATGACAAAGATGTATATTTAAAGGGTATAGCCGTACGGCTATACTTTCTAAATACATTCGAATATTTTAAAAGTATAGCCGACCGGCTAGACTCCTTAAATATTAATATATTCGAATATTTTAAGAGTATAGCCGGTCGGCTATACTCTTTAAATATTAACACGAAGCTTTCACTCGCACTCGCAGTCACAGCCATTTCACTTCTCTATCAAACCCAAAGCTTCGATTGGTTTTCTTCGGTTTCGGCCGCTTCATCCTCTTATTTTGGCATCGAAAAAAGACCCAACCCGCCCAGCCGCTTAGCCCCCCCCACCTAGCGCCCGCCTAGCACCCGCCTAGCCGCCTAGCGCCCGCCTAGCACCCTCCTAGTGGCCTAGCGCCTGCCTAGCTGCCTAGCGCCTGCCTAGCCCCACATCGCCGGCTTGTTGCAGATTTTGACGGAGAAAATTCTAATGACGGAGACAGGGTCGAGTTCCAGAGCCATAGAATTGGGCCATATTCAGGAGGAGATTGAGGATGTGTCTGCCGTTCCTGAAGTGAAGGAGAAGAAGAAGAGCAGAAATGCTTTGAGGAAGGGGTCGGAAGGTGAAGAGGTCCGAGCTATGCAGGTCTGCTTGCTTTTGAAAGGCGAGTTTTGATTTTTCGGAGTCTATCATTCATTTCTTGTGTTTTGTTTATGATTTAGTGTTGTCTTTGAATTATAAAATGGTACTTTTAAATTTGGCAAATTGAAAACTGAGCAGCATACAGTTTTTTACAACTTACAAGGGGGTATTAACTTTCTCTTTAGTATAGAAAGTTGTTAACTTTTGTTTCATTTCTTTTTCTGTAACCGGGTTTGTGTGGTTATTTCCTTTTCTAGTGTTCGCTTCGTTTTTGGATGTAATATTTGTGATTTTGACTTGTTCTAATATAATGTTCCTGTTATTTGACAGGAAGCATTGCAGAAACTAGGATTTTACTCGGTTGAGGAAGACATGGAGTTTTCCAGCTTCTCAAGCGGGACTGAACGTGCTGTCAAGACTTGGCAAGTAAGTTTCAATTATCATTAGATGTTACTATGTATAATGCATGAAGAGTAAAATTTCAGAATCATCAAGTTGAACAAAAATTTCACAACGCAAAATATATATGTTAGTCAACTTGTAATATCTTGTTTGACAGGCCTCCTTAGACGCCCCTCAAGATGGCATAGTGACTGCAGAACTTCTTGAACAATTATATACGGTGGCACAAATTGAGGGTCTAGATAACAAAGGGAGTACTGTGACTGCTGCACAAAAGGTATAGCCTTCTAACGACATACCATTAGGCTTTATTAAGTGGAAGCCGTTGATGTTTTACGTTTCAGTACCAATATATCATTCCTCACTTGGAACTGAACATAATGGTTTGGTAAGTCATTACTTGCATTCCTCAAGAGGAGCCAAAAACTCATTTGATGGTTCAATTTGAAGTGAACTAGCCTTCATTTTCTTCAACCAGATTGTAAAGAATTGTAGCAAACAGTACTAAGTACCAACCAAGAAGCTCTGTTACTTAATTGAGAAACGGACCTGAAGCTCCGACTATTTTCAGTAACTCAGACATCAGGTTTCTTGGTTCCAGTTCACTTAACATGCAAATAAATACGATATGACAGTGACGTAATATCATTACAGTATAAACTAGAAACCAATTACTCCTATTTGAAAAATGGTGAAGGCTTCCTCCATAACAGCGTGCTTGCTTCTCCTGCTTGTTGTGGCACATGGTAAGCATATCCTCATCTCATCCCTTTTATAAATATCTTGGTAATGTGCATACTATATTGTTGTCGATCTTCAAATTAATTCTTGGATATACATATATTCAGGTTTGCGAGATGGAGTTAAAAATGGGAAATTTGAACATGCGAAGAAGGTTTCGTCCCCTTTCCCGTCCTCGGAAGTCTATCATCTAGAATGTGAATCTAGTAGCCAGTGCTTTGGTTGTAATCCTCCTAACTGCAATAATTGTGTGGGCGGAGCTTGTCTTTGTTCTTGCTGAAAAGACATCAATTGCAATGATGAGCTTGTCTTTGTTCTTGCTCAATATTCAAATAGATCACTTCATCTCTCTGTTTGTAGTACTGAGAGAGGCACAAGTTATCCAGAATAAGATCTATTTTGATCAAGTAATAATATTTTATTCTACTTTGCCCAATGACATTTACTTATTAATTATTAATTACTGAATATTGTATTTCTTTTTGTTCTACGATTTCTATCATTGAGAGAGTTAAAAGATTTATCATGGACTAGCTAGGGCTTGGACAGGTAAAGCTTTTGAGAACCAGGAAAGGTTGAAAAATAAGAAGAAGAAGAAGAAGAAGATACAAAACGCGCACTGTATTGTTGCCTAATTCTAGTATTTGACAAATTGACACGTCCATATTTCAAACATATGTTGGGAATGCGAATTAGCGTCCACATGTAAATGTGTGTAAATGAATGGATGCTAAATGCAAAGGCTTGGGATCCTAAAAGTAATAGCATTGCAACCTTAAGCTAATATAATCGCATATAACGCAAATATTTGTTGATCCTTAAATTAATATATGAATTTAAACTCATAAGCATTTGGATTTGTTGTTGATTTTGCATTTCAATATTTTTCATGGAGAAATTATGGAATGGTATGGTATCACCATGTTAGCTGGTGATACTTCCACTTAGATATTGCCATATGTCTTTTATAAATAAATAAAATCTTTAAATTGTTTTCTAACTATACATTGGGTTCCAATTTTACCCTTCAAAAGAAAAATAAAAGAGAAAAAAAAAACTGTGCCACAACCTCCACCTCTATCAGTTCGCAGTCCCCCTCTGCCGCACCCTCCCTCTCAGTTTATTTTAAATTTAGAAGATTTATCGCACATGATTTTACGTCACACTAAATCAATTTATTTAGTCCATATGTTTATTGTTGGTGCAAGGTGGAAATGCATTTATAGCCGCGCGGCCATACTCCATAAATAGAATATTTTAAAAGTCTAGTTGAGCGGCTATACTCAATAAATATAATATTTTAAATGTATAGCCGCGCGGCCATACGCCATAATATAATATTTTAAAAGTATAGCCGCGCGGCGATACCCGATAAATAGAATATGTTAAAAGTATAGCCGCGCGGCGATACTTGATGAATAGAATATGTTAAACGTATAGCCGCGCGGCTATACCCCTCAAATAGAATATTTTATAATTATAGTAGCGCGACTATACCCTTTGAGTAGCATAATATGAATTTCTCTTTTTTAATTACTTTAATTAGTAGTTATGTTTTAGTTATTATTTACTTAGTGAATTATTAGTATTTAAATATTTTATTAAAGAAAAAATAGAAAAATTTTAATTACTATTTATTAAGTAATATAATTCATGAAGTTAATTAAAATATTTAATACTAATTAACTAATTATTCGCTAAATAAATAATAATTAAAATATAATTACTAATTTAACTAATTAAATAAGTCAAAGATATTATTTAATCACTAAAAATAAAATTGAAAAAAAATTAATTAACCTAAACATACTAAGTATATATATATATATTTTTAAAACCTCTTCGACGAAATTGCGTCTGGACATGTCTATCTCGATGAAGTTTGCTGTCCTCGAGAGAGGTTTAATCCGGCAAATATTTGTGGCATAGACATGTGCCGACAAAATTTCGTCAGGAAGTGTTTGTGTCTTTTGTTTTAATTTCAAAAAAATAAAATTAATTTCTTTACTTTTGTTTTTTCAGCCAACTTCTTTAATTTAATATATGTAATTAAATAATATCTTAGCCTTTTTGAATTATTTTAATTAGTAATTATGTTTTAGTTATTATTTTTTAGTGAATATTTAAATATGTTACTGATTTCATAAATGACTGAATAAATAGTAATTAATTAATTTAAATTATTTTGTAGATTTTGTTTTATATTAAATAATAGTTAAAACATAATATATTTAAAGAGTATAGAATCATTGTGTTTTCTTACACGCATATTGCCAAGGGGTCACGGAGGTTCGAATGTAAGACCACTAATCTGCAAGACCATACCACTACACTAGGCTCGACCCGAAAGGCACACATCCTTATATTTTCAAACATATTTTAGGAAATGCATATTAGCGTTCACGTGTATATATAGGCACATAGGCACATTTTCCGCAAATATTTGTTGATCCTTATATGAATCAAAATACTCATAAGCATTTGGATTTGTTGTTGATTGTGCATTTTAGTACTTTTTTTTTAATGAGAGGAAAAAAAGATTGGAAAAAGGAATGTCCAACGGTTACAATAATAGTGAATTATGATTAGAAGGAAATTTTTCAATAAAAAAGGAAAATTTTTCAATGAAAACGGAAAATTTAATGTCATCATGTACAAAATCAGCTCGACAAAGAAGAAAAAAAAAAAACAATTTGTGGCCATAAAAAAAATTGCATATACGCACAAACGGTTAGAGAATCACTATTATGCTATTTAGAGAATGACACAGATATGATCATTAATATAATGAATATAAAACCCCTATAAATATTGACCTGTAGACTCACAACCAATACCACCACTAATCTAAGAGAGGAGAATTTCAGTACTAAATTAGAAACCAATTACTTCTACTTAGAAAAATGGTGAAGGCTTCCTCCATAACAGTGTGCTTGCTTCTCCTCCTTGTTGTGGCACATGGTAAGCATATCCTCATCTCATCCCTTTTATAAATATCTTGGTAATGTGCATACTATATTATATTGTTGTCGGTCTTCAAATTAATTGTTGGATATACATATATTCAGGTTTGCGAGATGGAGTTAAAAATGGGAAATTTGAACATGCGAAGAAGGTTTTGTCCCCTTCCCCGTCGTCGGAAGTCTATCATCTAGAATGTGAATCTAGTAGCCAGTGCTTTGGTTGTAATCCTCCTAACTGCAATAATTGTGTGGGCGGAGCTTGTCTTTGTTCTTGCTGAAAAGACATCAATGATTGATGAGCTTGTAACTTGCTCAAATTCAAAAACACTTCAGCTCTCTGCTTGTAGTACTAATAAAGAAGATCAATTTTGATCTGAGTAATAATATTCTATTATATTTAGTGCATTCTCATGGACGTATTAATTTCTGAATATGAATCGTTTTTCTTTTCATTGTGTTTTTTTCAATCATTGGAAGAGTGAAGATTTACCGTTTAATACGTTGCTTCATTTGTCAAAATGATACGAATTGTTTTAAATTAACATTACAAAACAATTTAAATAATTTGATTCAGTCTAGCTAGTGCGACCAGTACTTATTAATGTAAAAATATATGATTTCATGGACAAACAGGGTACAACTCTAAGATACCAAAATGTTACTGAAATTAATCCAATTTAAAATAGAGTTAATTACATTTTTGGTTATTGGGTTTCTATATTTGCATATTTGTTTTTAATTGACATGTTTCATATTCAGTCATCTTGTGAAATCCGCTTCTGCCGCGCACAATAGTGGGAGAGTGTTGGTACGTTTTGGTCAATATAAACACGGCACATTTCCAACTAGGATTCTGGGATGAACAACACATTTTCCAATTTTCATATCTGGTATACATGTTTCGATCTGTTATTCAGTGGGATATCCTCATCTCATCCCTTCTATATTGTTGTTCTGTGGGATACTCTCAACAAAAACATTGACAATTGCTTTGCTTTGTTAAAATTATAATCGATTAACTAAGCTCTCTCTTTCTCCCTTGTCTCTTAGGTTTTCTTAATAAGAAAGAGTAGCAGTATTTCATATTGCTAATGTTGGAATTTTAAAAAAGGTTTTAAACAATTTACTGTTTTGATTTGTTTAATTATTTTGGTTGTTTTATTTTATTTATTGTGGGGTTATAAATATTCAATTTTTAGGTTTTATTTCTATATTGAATGTTTTAATGTTCTAGTTTAATGTAGTGGAGGTTACATCTTCTTGGATGCCTATAAAAGGAGAGAAACTCTCATGTAACGGGGATGGTACTTTTTGCTATCCCCGGCCAATAATGTGATGACACGTAGGATGACTTTTCCACGTATCATTGTGTTATTGGCCGGGGATAGCAAAACAGTGTTATCCCCGTTACATGTATGTTTGCTATAAAAGGTCACTCCTCCTTCATATTTGAGATACTACTAAATACCACAATACGATACGCCACAATCTATTTTTCTCTTCTTCTACCTTCATACTTTCTATACTTTTGATTAT